CTGCGATTGGAGCTGATGTTGAGAGCCTAGAGAGTGCACTAGGGCTTGCAGGGTCCTGTGGACCTGGGCCACGGCGGCGTCATTGTTGCGGGGGGATCCAGGGCCCGCGGCGGCGGCTGATGTGGCGGCGGCGCTTGCGGCATGGCGAGAAGCGCTCGCGGTAGCCTCGACGGGAGCGGCTCCTGTCGAAGGCGTGGCCGGGTGCGACCCGGTGGCGGCCATTTTCGGCCTTTCCTCTTCCTCATGCTCGTTGACCAAGCAATCGAGAGCGTCGGGTTCGGCATGATCTTCTTCGTGCTGGAAGTCGCGCGTGAGGTCGGTGTGAGCCTCAAAATTTCTGGTGGCAGCAGCGCGAGCAGCGCTTTGCACAGCGCCACGGCTACGAGTGACTCGCTGGTCAACAGGAGTATGCATAACACTAAATGGCATGGTGGCGATGATCAAGGGAGGGGAAAGGTACAACAACAACAACAACAACAAGCAAGGAAGCAAGCAAACAAACAAAAAGTATGACAATTTTGCACTGCCTCAAAACAGAGGAACAAAGAGGTTTTTGATGATTTTGAAACGTTTTCACAATACAAGCAGAAGACACAGGGAGGAAGCAGGAGGGGAACAGAGCAGCTGGAAAGAGCGAGGCAGGGTAACGAAAGAGAGGTTGGAAGAGTACACAACCGAGGCCCATAACCTATTAAAGGTATATGTCCAGTACAGTGTAATGTGTGTGGACAAGGCGATTGTCACAGAGGTATCCAACCAATCGAAGTGTACACGAGAACATGGATTGAAGCAAGGCGAAGGAACAAGACAGAACAAGACAGAAGGAGGGAAGTGGAACGACCGAGGTCAAGAAGGAAAATGGTACCGATCCAGGGAGATCGCTCCCATTTATAGCAGGTGGAAACACACACACACAGTGGAGACAGAGAATGGACTATCACACTGAAGACAGGTGGAGGCGATATCAGCAATCTGTTGGGACCAACAGATGCCACAACAAGATGGTACAACCAGATGTTACACAACAAGGTGGGACAACATCAAGTACCAGAGGACACACAACGTGGTCAAGTATACCGT